CGAGATGAACCTATCAGAGTCGGGGAAGCGTCTCCGGGTGGAAAGCGAGGATTCCGGGAGACCAGGAGGGATTTTTTCAAATGGAGTGACGGAAGAGAAAAGATTCACTGAGCCGTTGCGTCTCAGGGATGAGGATATGGAGAGTCCACTAGATGCACCAGTAGCTGATAATCGAGTAAATGGGGAAGCCACAGAGTTGGTGAATACGAGCTCGTCGGAGGAGGCGATGAGCTTAGAAATCACATGACGGGTAACCCCGGTAGTTCGAGTGGTCGAAGCTATAGAAAGTCTGATGAGTTGTCTCTTTTGGAACTGCCGGGGGGGCTAATAAACCCAATTTCCGTCGATCAATCAGGTACATCTTGAAGAGATTCAATACAGATGTGCTGGCTCTATTTGAAACCCATGCTGGAGGAGATAGAGCGCGACAAATATGCCAAGGGCTGGGGTTTGAGAAGTCATTTCGTGTAGATGCAGTGGGATAGAGTGGTGGACTGTGGTTACTATAGCAGGAGCAGGTGGGTGAAGTCACCATTGTGGAATCAGATGACCAATACATTCACGCAAGAATAGAGAAAGAAGTAGAGATTACTCATTTGGTAACTGTCTATGCAGCACCAACAGTCAGTAGGAGAAGTGGGTTGTGGAATCAGTTGAAGCGGGTTGTCCAGAATATAGACGAGCCAGTTATAATTGGAGGAGATTTCAACACGATCGTGCGAGTGGACGAACGAATAGGGGGAAATGGGAGACTATCACCAGACTCATTGGCGTTCGGAGAATGGATGAATGAGTCATACCTGATTGACATGGGGTTTAAGGGAAATCGCTTTACATGGAAGAGGGGTCGTGTGGAAGACACCTTCGTAGCGAAACGACTAGATCGGGTGCTTTGTTGTGCTCAGGCTAGACTGAAGTGGCAAGAAGCTTCTGTCACACATCTCCCATTCTTGTCCTCAGACCATGCCCCGTTACATGTGCAGCTTGCACCAGTTATGCAGGGCAAACCGCAAAGGAGTCCATTCCGCTTTGAAGCGGCTTGGTTAAAGCACGAGGGCTTTAAGGATATGCTAGGTGGTTCCTGGAATGGTGTGACCTCAACTCCAGAGGCTCTGAGTTTGCTGGAACGGAAACTAAAGCAATGGAATAGAGAAGTGTTCGGGAATGTCCAACAGAGAAAGGAAAAGTTGGTGCAGGACATTAAAAAGCTACAGGCGGAGTTGGAGAGTAATCCGTCGGATGAACTCCTTAACCGAGAGGTAGTGCTACAAAAGGAGTTCGATGTGGTACTAGAACAAGAAGAGGTACTTTGGTACCAAAAATCAAGAGAGAAGTGGATTGTTTTGGGTGATCGTAATACTAAATATTACCACACCTCCACGGTCATAAGAAGAAGACGGAACGGGATTGAAATGCTCAAAGCGGATGATAGGAGATGGATATCTGAACCGAAAGAGCTGAAGGCACTGACGATAGCTTATTATAAGCGACTATACTCAATGGACGATATTGAGCAGACAGTGAATACTTTACCGCAGGCAGGTTTTCCCAGCCTAAACAGTGACGAGTTGAGACAGCTGACGAAGCCTTTCTCGGACAAGGAAGTGGAGGCCTCAGTTAAATCTATGGGAAAATATAAGGCTCCAGGCCCAGATGGCTTTCAGCCAGCTTTCTTTCAGGAATGTTGGGAAGTAGTAGGGAAATCAGTGAGCCGTTTTGCTTTACAGTTCATCTCAAACGGGTCAGTTACCTCAGGGAACAAATGACGCGATGCTAGTCCTAATACCAAAGGTACTTAAACCTGAGAGGATTATGCGGTTTCGACCGATTAGTCTGTGTAATGTTTTGTTTAAAACAATCACAAAGAGTATGGTGATGCGTCTGAAGAAAGTTATAGACAAATTGATCGGTCCATCGCAAGCGAGCTTCATACCCGGGCGATTAAGTACAGACAACATCGTGGTAGTACAAGAGGCAGTTTCTTAGAAGATACTCTTCATGCTGCAAGGTTCCCAGAAATTTGGGTGAGATGGATTATGCAGTGTGTGACGAATCCCTCAATGAGTGTGTTATAGAATGGAGAGAAAACAGAGGCATTCAAACCAGAGAGAGGACTACGACAAGGTGACCTGCTCTCACCTTATCTCTTTGTACTGTGTATCGAAAGATTATGTCATCTAATCGAGTTAGCCACTGTCTCAAAAGAATGGAAACCAATACGTTTAGCTCGCGGGGGCCCCAGGTTATCACACATTTGTTTTGCAGATGATCTCATACTCTTTGCTGAAGCGTCGGTAGCACAAATAAGGGTAATAAGGAAGGTGTTGGAGAGATTCTGTGAGGCGTCAGGGCAGAAAGTTAGCTTAGAGAAGTCAAAAATCTTTTTCTCTGGGAATGTTAGTCGTGCTCTAGCTAAGACAATTAGTGATGAGAGTGGCATTCAAACTACCAGAGAGTTGGGTAAGTACCTTGGTATGCCAGTACTACAGAAGAGAATTAATAAAGATACTTTTGCTGAGACTCTTGAAAAGGTCGCATCAAGACTTGCGAGGTGGAAAGGACGGTTTCTAAGCCTTGCGGGGAGGATCACGCTTACTAAGTCCGTCTTATCCTCGATTCCAGTACACTCAATGAGTACTATTGCTCTCTCAAAGTCGACTTTAGAAAAGTTGGATAAGATCTCAAGGTCTTTCATCTGGGGCAGTTCAGAGGAGCAGCGAAAGCAACATCTCATAGACTGGAAAAGAGTATGTCTACCAAAGCAGGAGGGGGGTTTGGGGATTAGATTGACAAAAGATATGAATACGGCTCTACTGGCAAAGATGAGGTGGAGACTGTTTCAGGATGGAAATGGCTTGTGGGCAAAAATACTTCAAAGCAAATATCGGGTGCAGGAAGCACAAAATATGCCATAGCTGCAGGCTCCACGCAACTGGTCCACGACATGGAGGAGTATAATGATGGGAATGCGAGAGGTGATCATTCCAGGGATAAGTTGGGTGGTAGGGGATGGACGCCGAACTCGCTTCTGGGAGGACAAGTGGCTACTCAATGAAGCAATGGTGGCTTTGGCTGCCACAGATATTCCTGCTGAGATTAGAGATGCGAATGTCCAAGAATTTTGGAGCAACGGTACAGGATGGCAAATGAAAAGACTAGCACCTTACATATCCACAGATACTCAGTTGCGCTTAGCAGCGGTGGTTGTGGATGATGTCACGGGGAGAAAGGATAGGATTTCATGGGGTGAAACACAAGATGGGAATTTCACGGTAAGATCGGCTTATGCTTTCCTGACAAGGAATCGGGCACCGAGGTTAAATATGCAGAGTTTCTATGACCACATATGGCGGGTAGTGGCGACAGAAAGGGTGAAAGTTTTTCTTTGGCTAGCTACACATCAAGTGATAATGACAAATGTAGAACGGCAGAGACGCCATCTGAGTGACACGAGTACTTGTCAAACCTGCAAAGGAGGAGAGGAGACTACTCTACATGCCTTGAGAGATTGTCCGGCAGCGAAAGGCATCTGGCTTAGACTTGTACCACCGGGTAAACAACATATCTTCTTCACACAGTCATCACTTGAATGGATATATGGCAATTTGGCACAGAGCAAGACGGAATAGGGGAGTGAATGGGCAACCCTGTTTGCGATGACAGTTTGGTGGAATTGGAAATGGAGGTGTGGCTATGTTTTTGGGACTACTGGGAAATGTAGAGATAGAACACGCTTTGTTAGAGAGTTAGCTGCTGGGGTTACGAGAGCACACTCTAAACTGAGAGGACATTCGAATACGGGACTGAGAATAGAAAGACAGATTTCGTGGATAGCTCCAACAGATGGTTGGGTAAAGCTCAATACGGATGGAGCATCACATGGGAACCGGGCTCTGCAACGGCGGGAGGAGTTCTGCGAGATGAAGAGGGCCGATGGCGCAGAGGTTTTGCTGTTAACATTGGTATATGCTCGACACCATTGGCGGAGCTGTGGGGAGTCTACTATGGGTTATGTATTGCTTGGGAGCATCGAGTTACTAAGCTAGAAATTGAAGTAGACTCGGAAATTGTTGTTGGTTTTCTGAAATCAGGGATTAGTGATGCTCACCCCTTGTCATTCCTAACACACCTGTGTTATGGCTTTCTAGCAAGAGATTGGTTAATTCGCATCTCACATGTCTATCGAGAGGCCAATCGTCTTGCCGACGGTTTGACAAACTACGCCTTTTCTTTACCTTCTAGAATTCACGTTTTTGATTTTGTCCCAGAGAGTGTTTCATCCATCATGTTAGAGGATGCAAACGGGGTTTCTGCAATTAGACAAGTTCGTCTGTAATATGTTTCGTTTTGTTTTAAATAAATAAAAGGAGACCTCTATCTCCGTTTCTCGACCAAAAAAAAAGTTATACTATGTAGTATGTACAATGAAAATAACTCTGATTATTTTGAATAACAATATAAAAAGTATAAATAACGATAAGATAATTAAGAAAATCTACATAAAAAAGATAACAAACACATAATTTAGAAGATATTTATCTAAATAAATTTAGACTATATAAATATAAACAGGACTAATTTATTTGGCAGCTCTGAACGAATGGACCTAAACGGTTTGATGTTAAACGGGCCGGAAAAGCCCATTTAAACATAGATACTTGTTGATCCATTTTTGGGCTCTTCTTATTTTTAGTCCTGAAAATTTCAGGACGGGTATCTGGTTCCTATCCATACCCATTTTAAATTTTCCGTTCCGTTCTTTTTCCAGTTTAAAAAAAAATTTTTAGGACTATTTAATTTATTCAAATGGATAAGAGAATCCGATTGGGAATCCGAATTCCTATTTTAAAAATTAATATTTCAAAAAAATATATAATTTCCCGAATTTTGTTGAATTTTATCGATATTTCTTAAAATTTCATAATTTTTTTTGAATATTTCCAAAATTTCCCAAAATTCTGAAATTTTCCCAAAATCTATATCTTTAATTTGAGAGTTTAGAATTCATGTTCCTGTCCAATTGTCCATACCCGCAGATTCCCATCTCGTATCCATAATTTTCCGTTCTATTTTTGTGGGATTCGCTTATGAGAATTATTTTTTAATTCTCAAATTTCCTGTTCCCATAAATTACCTTCCCGAAATCCCGAAACTTATTCCCTTCCTCCCCAAGAATTTGTTTACACTTTACATTCGCTCCGAAATGTTTCTGATCATTTGCGAAATTCCCATTTCGTTTTCAACATTACCCAGATTTTCTTCAGTTTCATCTCTTTCACGCACACTTGCGAAACATTTGTTTAGAGTAAAATTTAGGTGATGAAATGAATATTCCGGGTTCTCCGCTGATCGTTCTCTTCTCACTGCTAGCTCCCCCACGGGTATTTTTCAAAACGAATCGATTTTCCTTCTGAAATTCTCTCGCGATCTGGGTTTGTTCTGATTTATGCGAACCAGTGCGAAATTGTTCGGTTTTATGGTTTAGGGGTCTCGTCTCAAACGGATGATAATTGGAACCTAAGTTACAATGGGAGAGGAATCCCCAATTTGGGTATGTTCAGATTGAGAGTGCTGGTTTGTTCACTAGAGACTGCAAAAATACTCTCACTCCAGTGAAGTTTTATAGTTTAGGGATTTCGATTTGGAAAGATTGATAGTTGGATTTTATACTACATTTATAGACGCGTTTTTCAATTTAGAATTTGATTATTATGAGTTATGCTTCACTATGAGCTTGGGTTTTCCTGTTTCTGTTTCATGATATGAGTCTGAGAAGTGTCTATGGTGTAAGCTAAAGACGAGACTGTAAAATCAGAGATTAATAGTCTTCAGGTTTCTTCTGGCTATGGACTAATATATACCAAGGTTCGCCTCTTTGTCGTCCTTTATGTATCCATTGGTTTCCTATGTTTGGTGTGACACAAATCCCCTTTTAATGTATCTGGTCTCTCTAACTCTCACAGGTTTCTAGGTTATTGTGAATATGCATCAGACATTAGAGGTAACTCTCGACTCTAAATTCATTCAAGTTTGCTTTCGTTAAGACCTTTGGCAAAGCTGTGATATAGGCTGTGATATGCGTCAGACATTAGAGGAAAGGAGTAACCATTCATGGATATTTGAAAATCTTTGCGTTTAGTTAAGACCTTTGGCAAAGCTTCTTATGGGCATGCCTCAACTGCGAGTTTCTGGTTCGATAACTGGCTGGAGTTGAACGGCTTTGTCGAAGAACAGAGTTAAGTGACGATGCTACATAGATGGCTTGTTTAGCTCGATCCTTGAAGTAGCTATTCACTTTTTATTTAGTGTTTTAGAAAGACAATCTGATTATTGTATTCCCTTGAGTCATTTTATACTACTGTATATCCAGAGTGAAACTCAAATCTCCAAAGCCACATTGATCAAAGCTATCAGAAACAGAGCATCCTCTTATCAAACTAAGGTGCCTCTCTTTGGCCTCTTTAACTACTCCAAGTTTGAAACCACTGATCTCAAATATTCTTCCTATTGTACAGTTTTGATCACAACAATGCATATCCATTTATAAGATAAGTCGAAACCCGTTTAACAAAAGAGAAAAGAGAGTTATTCTCCCGTTCTTGAATCAAATTGATTAGAGAATTAAGAAACTATACGGAAGAAATAAAGCCAACGGACTCAACATCAGTTATCACCAATTGTATACATGTCAAAGGAAAAACGAAACAGAGAATCTGGAATATGAGTTAAGATGTACATGAGAAGCATATATCCAGAGTGAAACATATATCAACAAGAAAGAAGAGAGACGATGCCCGACTTAGTCTAAAAAATACAAAAGATCTTAGCACATATGCATATATCGCAACCTATCAACACAACCAAAGAACTATAACGCCAAACCAAACCGCAAGAAGGCTAATTGGCCGCCATGTCACGGTAAGAACGGCGGGGATTAATCTGGTTCGCTGCGTGAATGAGTCGCTGAGAAAGTGATGGGAACTCTCGTTCGTTGGACGAAAGATAGATCAGCTCCAAGTCCTGTAAATGAAATTGTATATTCAGCTCAACTGTTTTTTTCGTTTCTTGATTCCTGTTCTATGAAACTGTGTTTTTTTTAACCTTTATTTCACGTTCTCTTATGCTCATACGGAGCTGAATTCCACGGGATGGTGGGATCTGGGGGTTCTGAATCTTCCTTCCTTCAGTCCCGTAGTCACGTACTGCGCAAGAAAGTACTTAATCCATGAAGATCCACTTTCTTTTTGTTAAAGAGATCCATTAAGATTCACACACAAATCGTATCAAACAAAAGAATGAATCACAGACGCATATAGACATCCTTATTCGTAAAAAAAAACAAAGAGGAAACATCATCTTCTCCAAAATACAGAAAAAAAAAAGTTCGTCAAATAAAATGTTTTACCATTTGTTACCGCAATCCTATGATTGGGTAGATCTACTTCACCTAAAATTCCTTCGACTCTCCTTTCATCTCTGAGAACAATGCTAACAAAGTTTCCTATGTCCTCCATGGATGAGAGATTAGTAGAGTTCATGTTCTTGCTCTGTTTCTCTTATCTCTGTATCTCTCTCTTTCTCGATAATAAAGAAGTGTGATTCGTTTAAAAAAAAAAGAAAGTGAATTTATAAGAGCGAAAGACGTTTGTGGATATGGGCCAAAGATTTGTTTTGGGCCTTCCAGAGAATATATATATATCATCGACTTCACACCCACGCGCGCGTACTTGAGAAGAAAAAAAATGATCATTTCGGGTTTAATGGAGAACCGGGTCATGAAACGGGTACTCCGGGTTCTAGACAATCGGGTCCGAAGAAATCATTCAAATCCGCTGTGTTCTTTCTCTTGTCACTGCTTTGCTCCAAACAGGTAAATTAAAATGAGTGAATTTCCTCTCAGAAATTGTCTCTCAATCTGGGTTTGTTGTGATTTATGCTAAAGATTGCGGAAAATGGAGTTTTAGGGTTTAGGGTTGTCGATACAGTGACTGTTGATTATATTCGAATACCGTGAAATCCCAATTTGGGTACATATATAGGTTGAGAGTGTTGATTTTGTTTTGTCTGCTCGAGACTGGTAAAAAGGATCCCGATTCCAAACTTTGCTGTTTGCTTCGAGTCCCATACTTGTGAAGAGAGATTTTTCAAAAAAAAAAAAAAAAAATGGGTGAAAACACTTTCCCTTTGCAGATTGGAGAGTACTGAACAATCTGATCTAGTTAATTGTATACATGTGGGAGAATGATATTCAAATGTTGGAGTGTGTAAACTATACATGTGAAGATCGTGAGAATGAGATTTACCTGCCGAAGAGAAATTGGAACTGGAGGAAAAGTTGTAAAGAAACTTAAGAGTAAATTTTAGCTCGGAGCAGCGTTTATATAGGAGGAGCTTGATCATAATTAAACCAAGGATCATAGAAATTTGAACCGGAGAGTTGCGGTTAAGCAAGAAGATTTGAAGCAATATCATTGACTGATCCTATTAACTGAGGAAGCATCAGAATCTGTAGTAGCTTCTAGTTTGTTGAGCTCTTCATTGAGGACTAAAGGAACTTCCCGGCGTATCTTAGCACCGTGTAGTGGACTGTGTGATGTGAAGTTAAGTGGGTGTGGTGGTTTTGTTGTGGCATGAGAAAGTTTATAACTAGTGGTTATAAGCTTATAGCTCCTCTTGATAAGCAACGGTAACCACAACGTGTGAAGCCTGTACAGGCTTAACTAGTATATCCTGCAAAAATTAATGACACATAAAAAAGGATAGTTTGAGTTTAGCAAATTCGAAAGTATCAAATTAGGATGTTTCTGTCTTAATTTTTTTTAATTGATACACAGTAAACACACACATACGTATTTCAGTTGAAATGCGCGAAAAGTCGCCTTGGGGCATACATGGGCCATAAATTACTATACATACCTTTTGTATCTGAACCTAAACTTTATGGGCTTTAAGTGTCAACGAAACCCAACTAAAAGACCACAAAAATTGTTGATACCTGTGAATTAAATGAAAATGAAAAGCTTAAAAGATAAACCTAATAGCTACAACATCGCAATCCATGTCTAATGCTCTTTCAGGTATACATTACAGGAGGATATAGAACACATCAATGAGCATCTGATACCTTAACCTTTGCAAGTTTGTTCTACAGCAAACGCCTCTATAGTGATTGAAATAATTGTAAACACTTGAGCTATCGATCGATTTGAGTGTCAACTAAAACCTTGATCAGTCCTCTAAAAGTTGCATTTAGTTCTTATTCTAAATTAAAAAGAGTATTAAAAGTTGCACAAAACCAAACCTAACATAATCTAATCCATGAAGAAAGGTTTCAAGGCAAAACAACACATGAACCATAGAAAACTCTAATCCATGCCATGCAGATTCAATTTCATACAACCACCTTGCACATGAAATGGACTTAAAAGAAAACTTTCAATCCATGAGAATTTTTTAAGTATATTTATAAGATACGGATTGAGTGAATTAAAAATCTAAGAAAGAAGTATCCAAATCACATTTATTTTGATGTGTTTGAATCTAAATTGAACTGGATAAACAAGATGCTTGCAATGTCAAATTTTTGGACAATTCTTCCTTTCGCTCTTAGTAAAAAAATGCTGCAAATTCAAATGAATCAATCTCGAATCAATTTAGATATATAAATCATAAAAAAACCTTTTCTCACTATTTCATGATTCAATTTCTAATCAATTTAGACTTTAATTCTCGAAATTGATTTCATAGATAATCATTGTTAGTTATAAGGAAAGCGACGTATCTGATGAACTTTGATGGAGTTGAAGATGATGACACATTTTGCCTTGCACTCTTCATTACTCTGCTGAATAGAAACAAAATAATTTGGAAAAGATATTAGATGTTATTGGTTGTTTTTTTTTCTCTCTGTCTCTCTAGTTGTACAGCAATGTATTAGTAGAATCGTGAAAATGAGCTTTATAAGAGAGAAATGGTCATTTGTTTATGGGCTACTTTTGGGCCTATAAAAATATATGAGCTCTAATACTTCAAATATATTATTTATTATTTTATTTTTCGGTATTTTCCCCAGGAATTTGTTTGACAATAAATGTTTATGTAGTTTTTGGTTTTAAATTTTGGTTTTTGGTTTTTGGTTTTAGATTTTTGGAGTTTTGGTTTTTAGTTTTGAGTTTTTGTTTTTGCAGTAGATTTTAGTTTTTAAAAAACTTGAATGGTAATTTGTTTAGCTTTTGGTTTTTTTTACCTATATTTTTTTTAAATGTTGTTATACTTATAAGTTTTAGTTTTTAACATATTTATTTAATTAATTCACAAAATATAAGTAATGATAAAATATCAATAAAAATGTACAGAAGTTTGTGTCATAAAATTAAAATAAAATAAACTTATTATTGCACATTTTTTAGAGATGTTTATAAAAAATGGAGATAAAATTTGCTTTATGTGTTTTAAATGATCAAAAATAAATGTGTGAGATTTATCAATAATAATATATTATTTTGATTTTTTATTTTAGATTTTGATTTTTTTGTTGTTGTAGGTTTTAGTTTTACAAAAAAAACTTGAATGGTGATATTTTTTTTTACATATATATTTTAATATAAGATAATGACTTAATTATAAGATATGGTTTTATATTTTGTTTTAGTTTTTGTTGCATTAAATATTTAAAGTATTACCAAACAGTACTAAAACCAAATAAATTTTATTTATTAATAAATACAAATACTATTTCTTATGAAAATAATAAGTAATACCAAAAAATATCTAAAAAAATATACACATATTTAAAAATGAGAAAAATTATGGTAACTTCTTACAAAAGTTCAAAAATTATGGTTTTTGGTTTTTGTTTGTAAAATACTAAAAACTATGAAAAACTAGATTTCTTATAATTTAAGAAATCTATTTACTTAAAAATTTAAATGACTAAAAAAACAGTTTTTCATAAACTAAAACTAAAAACTATTCTAAAAACTACAAACAGTGACTCCTAGAAGTGTTACTGATTTTTCCGAAATTCTAAATTCATTTTAAACATTACCCAAATATTCTTCCGTTCCATCTTCTTCACGCACACTCACTTTTTTAGATTAATTATCTGAGTTAGATGTTGAATTCGGGTCATGAAATGGATATTCCGGGTTCCAGACAATCGGATCTGAAGAAATCCTTCAAATCCGCTGTTCGTTCTCTTCTCACTGCTTGCTCCAAACAGGTATTTTTTGAAACGAATCGATTTCCTTTCTGCAACTCTCGAGATCATTGCGAAATTGTTCGGTCCTGTGGAGTTGTAGGGTTTAAGGTTACTCGAAAGGATGATAATAATTGGAACTTAGAGTTACAATGGCCGATGGAATTGTTGATTATAATCGAATTCGGGTACAAACCAAATTTTGGTATGTTGAGATTGAGAGTGCTGATGCTGTTTTGTGTACTCGAGACTGCAAAATTACTCACTCCAGTGAAGTTTTGTGGTTTCGGGGCTCTCGAAAGATTGATCATTGAAAGACAAGCTTTTCGATTAGGATTTGATTATGTCATCCCTAATTTTTGAATTATGACCATGAGTGGTCACCTAGTTTGAGAACTGACTTCTCCGTAAACTGAAGATGACACTGTAAAAAATCAGAGCTTGAAGAGAGTCTTGAGGTTTCTTCTGTGTAATGAAGTAATAATCCATTTGTGGTTTCACCTTGTAGGATTTTCTTGACATTTTCTCGAGATTCAGTAAGACTGAGCAAGAACGGCTTTATCGGCTATATACTCAGGTACGTATCGCTCTTTTGAATCGCTTTTCAATCATCTGCACACATAGGAAAGCCATGTAGACCCCATTCGTTTCGTGTCTTTGATGTAAAATCATGGAGAAGCTTTTTTAATGTATCTTGTCTCTCTCTCTGACCATCTTTCTAGGTTATTGTGAATTTGCATCAGACATTGGAGGTAATTCTTGACTTTGAAATCATTTGAATTATATTAATTTAGACATAGAAAATCTGTGATGGGTGGGTTATTCATGTCGTGATCAATTAGAAACTCTTTAGTTAACGTTTTCACCATTGTTACAGGATGAGTTTGATGCACAATGCCAAGAATCTCAGGTACCGTTGTTGACTATACTTTCACAACTTCTTCTGCGTTAGAGAATTGCTGCTAGTTATCACTTAATTGTTTCTTACATCTTTACTAGTAAAGAGGATCGTCATTTGTTGATCGATAAAGTAAGGGATTTATCAAGATCCTTGTGAGTGAAAACACTTTCTTTATGCAGGTTGGATCAGTTCTTGATAAAGTCGAGCAGCTGGTCGAAGAACAAAGTTTGGATCCCTTATTTTCAGATGAGTGAGTCTTATGCATGCCGCTTAATCCATTTTGCTTGTTATTATGCATTGATGGTGGTGTTGGCCTCAATTTATACTATCACAATGACTCGTGCTCAGGACGAATGTAATGGACATAGCAAACGATCTAACAACAGCTAAGAAGAGGGAGATACAAAAATTAACAGCTTTGCTTCAAAGGGTAAGTAAGCTCAGAAAGACTTTCACAGGATACCAACCCTTTGTTCATATTACCCTTTTTAGAACTGATTCCTTCTCGTTTTCATCAACTTACCAGGCAGAAGAACAGAATCGTCAGATGGAAGCTCGAATCGGTCAGCTCAGAAAACAACCACAAGAGGTCTCAGGCACAGCTGATGCAATCACAAAGGTACTAAAATTTCTTCAGTTTTCAGATTCTTACACACTTATTTCTTCGTTTCTAAATCGGTCTCAAATCGTTAAAACTTTTGCAGCTGAAAATGGGGATCACGGGCTACTTTGAAGGAAATGACAAGCTACCTCCAATATAGTTTGAAGACAATTGCAATGAAGAAGTGTGTTACTTTTCATTCCCTGTATCTGTATATGGTTTATTAGAGCTGTATCAATCTAGCTAGTCACACAGCTCTTGCTTCATGTGTAGTAAAACCACTGAGAAGCTGGATTAAACCGGTTTATGCATTCTGTTACGGTTAATTGGGTAAGTTTAGATGAGTGGTGGCACTTTGGTTTTGGTTCGATTAACTCATGCAAGATGTTCGTTAGTAGTTGTTACGTAAACAAGCATATTGTGACTTTTTTATCACAACCATAAGATTTGTTGAAGAATGGTCATCTTGTGACTTTTACAAATATGTGTGTTTGAAAATTTATCATTATTATTCGTAATAAATAAAATGAAACTGTTGGGGTATCTGTAGACATTGATAATGGATGACTGGGACTCGAGTCACTCAACAAACAACCTCTTGTGATTGTGTACTTTCTTCCGACCATATGATTCCATCACACTTCACAGATAACTTGTTTGTTTTATCTTCTTTAAAGTGATTGTTCTATATAATGTCAGAAAACAAAAATCATATCATTTGCTTTGTGTATACTATAGTACCTTGTTAAAAATAAATTTTGAAAAGTCAAGAAGGCAAGTTCCAAAACACCAAAACATCATATGATACAAATTTTGTTTCAGTTTGAATTTGAATTCGGATTTGTGAAAAAACTAATCTTGAAAACTAAATATTTTAATCGGTTAACTTTATAGTTTTATGTTGGTTTTTGTTTGTTATACAAAAAGAAGTTGAATCAATGAAGGTTTCAAACATTACTATAGGTTACTCAAGATTATGGCTTACAGCCACTAATCAATGAAGTCAACTAATATACAAACACTCTATGCCAGACTGTTTATTCTTCGTAATTAATTAATTTAATTAAATGATCACATAATTAATACTACAACGATCCACGTAATGGAGGTGATAGTTAGTACAACAGGTACACGTACTTAACTTTGAAATATAAAAACTAAGATGTTTACAAGTCAAATAGATATTTCTTCTCATAAGAGCTTATTATATTATTAAAAGTTATTGATTTGAGGTCAAAGTATAATGTCTACTTCTTTATATAGTTATATAAAGTATATGTTATGTACGTCATTACTATACGACAGATTTTTTTGTTTACATTATAATTGATTATATGACCTCATCATTATTACTAATTTAAATATGTTGAGAATCGCCGATTGGCCCAATTTGGCACCGGGGCATAAAAAAATTAGCCGAATTGGTACGAAAATGAATAAATTAGGACAAGTAAAAGAATCTGATTACGCAGATAAATCTCGGTATGTATGTCGCATTCTATAAAATATTTCAAGTTCTTGACTTGTTTATTTGCGTTTGTACATATGCTTAAAGAAACAAAATTATCATACGAAACAATAGAAAATGGTTTCAAAATGCGGTTTTCAGTTGAGACATTTGGCTATAATTTGGTCTTTGCCGGTTTAAAATAGGTTCGACAATAATTAAGAAAATTTTGGGACGTCAGGATAATTTTCTTTCCAGAAATTATTTGACGTTAAAGTCAATAATGAATCAACATAAGTAATGGAAGAAATGATATAGAGGAGGACGAGATAAAGACAATGGTTCAGAATCAGATAGATATAGTCGGTTCAGAGAATCCAATAACGCTATTTGTATGCGGAGTAAAGAAAAAATCTTAAAGATAGTCAACATCATAATGCTCAAAGGAAAAAGCAATGCCCAAATCTTATGTAAAAAATCCGGTCACCTCATCGTGGGATATGAGTGGATTCGTTTAGATTTATCTAAATCGTGTTTGTGTACCGCTTTATCAGCTTTAGAGACTGCTTACCATGTTGGCAACATATATAGCATCCTACGCAAGATGTGATGGGAAATGTATACCCGTACGTCGTCTCTGCTATGTGGCTTGTATATGTGTTTCATATGTATGTTGCATTAACTGGTGTTTCATTCGACCCAGATATTCCATTTTGATGCGGTTCGATGTTATGTTTGCATTTGCATTATGTGTGCATGAATAGGTTAACTAATTAACATTATCCGAATTTTTTATTTCTTCAAGGCCGAACATACTAAAAACAAAGGACTTCAATCTCATTGCAGGTTCCGGCATAATTGGGACCATATTCATGAAATATCTATATCATTCTAAATTTAGAAGATGAACGTGAAAATCATGGAGCATGGTACATTTTAAGGACGACAATATGACGTACAGAAGTATGCAAAGTCCTCGAAACAAGTAAACATAATAATCAAATAATGTTCAAACGCTATTTATATATATATATATGTATATATTATTATATACTAATTATCTAATTTTGTTTTCTTTTTAAACAGTAACTATGGGGATGGGGTTTGTTTTTAAAACTCACACGCATTTGCATTTGACTAAAAACGTCACGAAAAACATCAAAATATCCATCTTGTATAATATTATATTATTATATAGGGTAAAGTTCTACATATAATTATATAATTTTTGGTGACAAAAAGGACGCATAAGATTTTGTTTATATTTTCTATCAGAGGATCTCATACTGTTGGTTCACTTGTCGAATGCCCATAAGATATCATAAAGTTTTTTTTCTAAGAAAACAAAATATCAGAATATAACTACATAATTGAAAGAAAAATGATAATAAGACAGAAGATAGGGGACTAGAAATTGATAGCCCGTTTGATATTTTTTTTCCTTCCAGGAAGCAATTACAGCTGGGCACCAATATGACTCTCAATCATGATACATATAAATATATCATAAACGACGATATATATATTACATACATATATCTCACTAATAGAATAAAATAAATATAAAATAATAGGATGTTTTTTTTTTTTGTAACTAGATAGTATAGTTACAGCGACGATGACCACAATTTACGGCTGGTGATGGTCAAAGTCACCCGTCAAGTTATTTGAATAGAGTAGCATTTTAAAAAAATTACGTCATTCTAACAAATATTTATAATGATTATGGCGATTCTTTTGTCCTTCATTGATGTGGTTACTCGATTCTACAAACAAAATAAGTGTGCGGTACGTGTAGTTAACATGCATATTGTATTAAAATGTTAAATAAAATGATAAAATGAAATGAGTTAAGTAATACTTATAACTTCTAGTATAAACTAAAAAAGAGTCGTTATTGCAAACGTTTATGGACGGACGTGTAAACTCACTAACACATATGTTAGGATAAAATGATCAATCACATTTGTAGTTATATTATTATTATTTAAATAATCATTGCTTGACAAACAAAAAGTTCACGAAAAACTTTTTTCGGATCGTTTTGGACAAAAGCCGTCTCGGAATACCAATATTTTTACGAGTACTAGTAAACATAGGGTGCTTAGAGATTTCTTCAGATAACCAATTCACTAATATGTATGAATTGTAAAGACAGATAAATTATGTTTAAAAAAGACATGGAAAGTCCCAATCCAGGACGAATTAGTTAACATATACATGAGATATCAAATAACAACTTTTCCCAATTGAAAAACTAAAATTAAAAAACTCCAAACAAAATTAAACTAAAAAAATGGAGTTTTTTGTACACTTGGTGTTAACTCCTCAATTCCCTTTTGGGTATTTTTGTTTCCTACCAAAAAGCCTTTGGTTTTTGTTGTTGTTTTTTTCTTCATCTCTCCCTAATTTTCTTTAACAAGAAAGAAAGAATTATTTAATTTTCTTCTCTACTCCCCTCTTTCCAATAATAGAAAGCTAAAGGGCAAGGCTGTAATTCTAATCGATCGTCGACCTCCTGGACAACACAATGGGCAGTCCGTTTTGGGGAAGCGCGAAAGGCCCATACTGAATACCGTCGCTAGCTCCAACTATTGACCATCTGAAAATTACAAATGTTACCCTTTATCAAAAACAGGGAGAAATAAATTTCTAATTCTGAAAAAAATTTGTAGCAAAAAAAATGTGTGAGAGAAAGTAATACTAAGTAAGTAGTACACACACCTGTACTTTGTAGTGAGATGATGAATCATAATTGACATCTCAAGCTTGGCTAATTCATTTCCAGGACACGAGTGGGTCCCATTGCCAAATGGCATGAAAGTATTTGGTTTTGCTGCCACCTATGTAGCAAATAAATTATATAATTAATATAAACGATTTTCTCAAAAAAAAAAAAATTATGAAAAAGTACTGCTAAAAGATAAATCACCTCAAATCTTGATGGATCAAATTTTCCCGGATTTGAGAAAATATCAGCACTATGATGAATATTTCTGAAAAGCGGCAAAACTTTCCATCCTTTAGGTATCAAGTATCCTGTAAAACGAAAACAAGGTTTGGTTTTTTAGAATATTTACAGTAAATCTAAAGATTAGTTTGCGTATTAATCGATAGTAGAAGATTAGTTTAATTGTATTTGTATATAGTACCTTCGTATTCGACATCTTCGACAGCTTCTCTGAATGTGAAAGATAAGATCGAAGCGACTCTTAACGTTTCTTGAATGACTCTTGAGGTTAGTGGCATGTTCTTTGTATCAACCCAAGTTAGAGACTCTCCTTCTTCTTTGCCTTTTCTTATTGCCATTTGCTCTTCCTGTTTACCAAAGTACCCAATCAGAACTCAAGAAAATTACAAAACTGCCACACTCTTCTGTTTTTATTACCAAAAGACGACAGCTACGTGTCAGTGAATAAGTACTTACAGTAACAGCTTCTAGAACGTTGGGGTTCTCAGCTAAGTACTTGAGGATCCACGTCATCACACTCGCCGTCGTGTCTCTAGCGGCGAAGATAACTCCGATTATGTTATCGGCTATCTGTTCGTCGCTTAGCTCTTCTTTGTCTCCCATGAATGATCCGAGAAGATCGTTGTGTGAGGAACCGTTTGCTCTTCTCTCTGATAAGATCCTAGCGAGGATCTGTGAGAGCTCCTTGCGTGCTTTCATGGCTTTGTGAAAGAGTGTTCCAGGGAGGTTTATAGGCATCGAGTTATAACCTTTCTCGAGAATGTAGTAGCATCGTTTTAGATCTTCTCTGTATAGAACCTCATCTTTTCCGAAGATCGAGAGTAGCGCAACGTTGAAGGTGTACTGTTAGAAAGAAAACAAGATAGAAACAGTTAGTTAAAAAAACAGAGGAGAGAAGAGAGAAAAAACAGTCATGCTCTGTTTTTATGGCCGAGAAAAACAGGGGAAGTATGTATCTTGCTCTGTTTTCAAGCAGGCAAAATCGGATGTGTGTGTGAGAGAGAGAAGAATCTTAGTTAAAAAATGAGAAATTGTCTCAAGAAAAACAGAGGAGAGAGAGAGAGGAAAACAGGGGACTGTCTATTTAACCGAGAAAATCGGAGAGAGAGAGAGAGAGAGTTAAAGCTTACTGTTTTCATTTCTTGGTAAGTGTTGATCATTGTTCCATCCCAGTTTCGGAGGGAGTCTTGAGCGATTGATTCGATATCGGGAACCATTTCTCTGATTGCTTCCGGCATGAAAGCACGGAGAACGAGCTTCCTGAGTTTAGAGTGATAATCACCTTGGTGGAAGAAGATGGCTTGTTTCCCCAACATCCTCTCTTTGCTCGCCGGAAAAGTCGGTTTAAAGAGATGAGATTTCGTCACCAGCACGAATTTCGCAGCTTCAGGACTCGAGATCATCACACATGGACATCCCAATACATGGGTCTTGAACACCGAGCCATACCTGTAAAATTCAAAATTGAAAATTTTCAGTTTCTCAACAAGTTTTCAAATTTTTTTTTAATTTCTGCAATTTTGCGATTTTCAAAACACCGACCTTTTCTGTTTCGATGCGAAAAAGACATTTGGGTCTTGAGAATAGAGCTGGAAAGTCTCACCGACGTAAGGCCAACCCATTGTTCCCGGCGGAAGTGGGAGTTTGGAGGATCCACCGCGGCGCTGAGAGATTAGACGCCGGAGAAGGTAAAGGAAGAGACTTCCGGTGAAGAGAGTGAGAAACAAGGCGGAGAAATCCATTTTTTTTCTAAAACTCAAATTTTAAGTTCTATGTTCAAGAAACCCCACTTCGTATTTTGACAGTAGGAAGGGGAGAAGTAGCTGAACAACGAAGAACTTGTGACCTAAATTAAGAAAGAAAGAAAAAAGATATTTTTGTTTGTGTGTGTGTGTGTGTAATGGAAGATGTATTGTGATGCAAACCAAGTGGGAGATGTGAAGGGGTTTTATAGGCTATTCTCATATGGTAGAGGAGAGAGAAAAAGATTGAAGGGGAAGAGAGAGAGAGAGAGGAGGTTTCAAATAGAGCTTCCTATACAGAGAAACTCTTACTAGAGAGACAGCTCATTTGAGAGAGACGATGATAGCACGTGTCAAAGAGCATGCAAAAAGAGCGTGTGAGATTTTGACCAAACAAACAATGCTAATTAAAGAGAAGCCACTAATTAAAGAGATGCAGAGCCACTCAAAAGGATTAATTAGTTACTTTTTTTTTAAAGCCTAATTAAATCGAATTTTTTTAAGTATAGAGCAATTTGGCCCTTAAGTAGAGACAAAGGTAGGGTAAGGGAAAGGTTTATTTTATTTTTTTCGTTGGGTAATTCTGTGGACCACTTTCAGTTGAAGCTACCCGTAGGTTTATTTATTGTGCTTCATATTTTAATTTTAAAATAAATAATAATCATCATTTTACATTAGTTTTTCATTTAACTTTTATTAAAAAAAGTCTCAAACAAACATGATCTTTTTTTTTAAAGCTCACATACACAATTTAACACGTTTTAGCTATCTGCATGGTTTACAAACGCTCATCTGAACCATGTAAACGAGAGAACGGATCTATGATGATCTCTGGGACGACATCAATAATCTGCAAGATCTTTGTTTCAATCTTCTTGAACAGGTTATAACTGTTGGCCGATTCTCTGGCTATGCGAGCCCTTGAAGGTATTACTTTGCAATGCAACGTTAATTATTTTATTTGAAATGCTATTATTTGTGTTGCTCTTGGTAACAATTGTTTCTTTATTATTTACTTTTATGAATTTCATAGCAACCTCAAAATAGGATATTTGTGTAGTCCTTCTATATATGTAATTGCTAAAAGGCTGTATTTATTTATATGTATGTAGGATCTTATTATGCACACTATTACTATATACAGAACGAGATCGTAAGTCATGAATCCTGATTCACGAGAAGCCATAAGTATATATGCGCACACATGTAAATATAAGGTTCCCCTTTGTGAGAAGTGAGTGAAACTAAAGAGATTTAGAGTTTTTCTTCTAGTCGATGCACGTTAAGGTTATTTTAACGATGTCGGTTTTACATATGTACGTACGTATACATATCAGTTTGGTGTCTGTTAGTACATGATCAGTGGCTCTATTGTACGCTCACTTGAAAGTTTTGCATATGTTGCTGTATTATATGCTTCTGTGTCTAATGTCAGTACCTACATGTTAACAACAAATTAGCTGTTAAGATATAACACGTGAACATGCAATGTCGGGTTTGCAAATACATTTTTTTTGTTTACCTTGTGAGTTGTGAACTCCATCTTTTATATAAGTTGTTAACTTGATTGTAGGAAAAGACATATTTATATATATTAGGGTTATCATAACTGATAATCTGAACCACTGTCAACGAAAAGTAAAATGATTTAAAGATAATTAAACTGATACATATAAAGGGTGAATATGTATTGTTTTAAAAAAAATTATTCCAACAACACGGATTATTTGGATTAAATCCATATAGTGATACATTGACGATATTAGACTATTAGTACTTGCTAATATTATCCCGCATTAAAACCAGATACTATTAATAGTTAACATGCTGTATATATAGTGTTGTGAAACTAAAATATGGGACTAAAGCTAGTCAGATTAGATCAAAACAAGAACTTAATTGGCATATATATATACATATATATATAATGTTATGTATGACCTAGCTTAGATTATTCAGACATTTTTATGTTGTCAAACATTTTCGTAGTTTCTAGATAATGCTTTATTATCAATTGACTTTTGTGGTGCCAAGAAGATAAAAATATAAGAACTAATACACATATATAGCAAACAAAGTATATATATTAATTTCTCTGTCTCCTTCATATAATCTGAAGATCTTCAGGAAAAGTCTTACCAAGAAATGATTCCCTCTTGTGATATTCATACACACATGATCCGTCCATATATAGAAGAGTGCTAACATATATGAGATGTGTATAATATATATTAATCATAGTTTGTCTAAGTTTTAAGTTGATCAAATACATATGTATAGATCCCAATTCATGTCAACTATTGTCGATAATACAATTAACAACATAGAACATGTAATTGCATATATGCAAAATTTAATTTATAGAGTTGTTAACAAACAACAAATGAGATTTTGTAGAGTCCAAATTAAAATTTTCATCCTATACACTTTTAGATGGATTCCCTCTTCTAGTATATTTTTATAAAAATAAATATATCGACAAAACAACTGTTGAATTTGGGACCGTCAAACCCAATTTCTCCCGGCATTCAAAATTTTGGCGACTACTTTCATATTGTCAAAATAGTTGAGTGACACTTGGCTCACCATGGTTCATGGCTTCATGCCTCCTTAATTAGTCTCTAATGTATAAAATAATGGGGCAACTTTTAATATCTGTAAGCATCCACACCATATATATACATATATATATATATATTATAATTAGACAATTGTCCGACTCTTAGAAGAAATGAAATAAGTTCGTAGTTTTCAACCTGACAAATCTTATCATACGAGTTGTTTAGAATGAAATGAACCACCGAACGAAGAAGGTTGGAATTTCTTTTTGGAAAATGGACTGTGAGATCTGGAGATCACGATAAGAACATACTTTTCAGGCGTAATAATATACTATCAAAACTATAAATACAAATAAGACAAAAATCGACCGGGTAGCTCAATGAGGTATATATATTGTTCCAGTCAACTTGTCAAGTTGGATCTGAATATAAATTTGGAGACTTTGATATAGACGAACCCAAATTTAATGTTTTGGCAACACGAAGCATACACGGTCGAGCATATAAATGGATAACTACGCGGTCGTTGATAATTCTACGTACCTATTCAAATTTTAACCAACATACTATAACTAACATCCCCACTATAACCAACATACTGTAGATTTTAACCTATAGTATATATATAATCTGTATGCAACTAACAATCTTATAGGAAGATTATCTAGTTAATTTAATTCAAATACTATCTAAAAATGTGTAATCCCATAAGTAGGCATGCTTTAACTAGTTAACTTGACATGTTTCAAGCTTTATCGATTTCTTAAAGTTAAGTGATATATAATAGTCTAGTGATCATGATCATCAATATGCTTGTGGTGATCGATTTTAATTTGCTAAGTTTTCTGATAATTATCGTACAAACTTCAAAGTTTAGTTCGAAATTTGGCATGTATTCAGTATTCCTCGATTGAAAATCATATATGTGATAGAATCAAGATTGAAGTATGACTTTACAACGAATAGTGTTAATTCCAACGAATAGCTTTAATCTCAACAAATGCCAGTGAAACTAAACAAATATAACTACGTGTTTATCAGAGTATGTAATACAAGTATTAGCAATTCACGTAAGTTTATACTATACCAAGATAATTAGAAAAAAAAATATATAAATATCCGAAAGGTAGATATATAGTTTTCGACCGACCATATTTTCCATAACATGCATACCTTTATTTGCGTGCCTGACAGAAGCTTACTTTATATAGAGTTACGTTGGAAATTTCCCAATTGGGAAATCTAGATATATCTTTTCTTTTTAAAATTGAATAAACAATTCTATCTCTTTTTTGTCGAAAAATATAATATTTCGGCAGGGAAAGAAGAAGGCGACAAATGTGATATGGGCACCATAACGAACATTGATTAATTAATACTTTAATCGAAATACTAAAAAAATGTCAATTTGTCACAACAGATACGAGTTATAATTATGTGTCCCGATAAGGCGAAAGATGGAATGTAGTATATAATTTGGACTAAATAAATAAATAACCAGTTTTAATTCAATTCTACCTTTTTCGCATTAATTTCGTAGTGACAACACAACGTAAAAGGCTTTATTGAGTCAGTTCGCTATATTGTCTATTTATGGTCAGTATTGTACATTTATGTACGTACGCAGGAGGACACGAAATCACATTAATTTATAATTTTTGTTGGTTTTCTTATCAATCTATTTATATTTTGGCCTTTCTATTGAGGAGCGATAAAAAAAAAATGGAGGATAAGTATATATATATATATATATATATATTTTTTTTTTTTGGTTAAAGAGATAAGTTACTTTCACAAAAATACAACTCGATGTCCTCCATTATTGAAGAACAAAGGTGGCTCGCGTGCATTTTTATTTTTGGTTTTTAATATAGCAATTAGTTTTCGAGTGCAACATTAACAAGCTAAGATTCTTTAACAGAAAAAAGATTAATGGCTAACCCAAAACAAAGTCATTTCGCGACATTAACAAACAAATAAGAAAATTACAAATAAAGTTTTCTTTAATCTCCTTTGGTCATCAACTATTTTTTGGCAAATCATGAACATTTTGTAGAAGACATGAGTTTAATATATATATTTTTTCTTTAACATTTTGTTTTTAGAAAGCAAATCTTCTTTAATCGAACAAACGCAATTCTTCACTGCGTGCAATTGATCACGCAATTTTTTTAAAATTTTTTTTGTCGACTTCACGCAATTTTTAATAATTAGGCTCTGTTTATATATATAATAAATGGACAAAAAGGTGGGACGGTTTTTGTTACTGCACTGTAAAACTCTCGACTACAAAATTTATGACGACAAAAAAAGAAAGAAAGGTGGGACGGAGATCGATTGCCAATAACAAAATAAACTATTATTTTTAAATAGTTTTTTCTCTGTGTAAGAATAAGTGAATAACAACAACACGAGATCGATTGCAAATGCGAAAAAGGTAATAATTTCAATATTCAAATATCTATAATTGGACAAGGTGGCGACGTAACTTCTGCATACTTGCTTACGTATACATTATAACAAACGCTTTAATAACACTGAACAATACCTTAATAACATGTTTACACTAAAGTAATAAAAATTGTTTTAAACAAAATTATATGTATAAAGAATACGTTAATGCTGTGCATATATATATAGAGGATAAACTAAAACAACTTCACAGAAGCGGATTATCAGTTAAACAAGGATCGATCGAGCCTAACGCCTAACTAT